TTTTTTTTTTTTTTTTTTTTTTTTTACAATGGGTATGGAGTGCCATATTACTAGTGTAGTACTAGTTAGTGCACTATTAATTTGGCTTAATCTGGTGTGCAATTAACCAATTAATGTACATGACTAGTAATCAGTCATATAGCTTTGAACTCAAAAACTTCCTACATTTGTAAATTAACATGACAGACAAAGGCTCGGAACCGGCCTGGATCCACGGGTCTTGGAACCGGACCCGTGGTAAAACCGATTCTGGGTCTTGTTTTTGTTTTTTAGATAAGTCAATTTCGGGTCCAGCTTTTGAGGCCCACAACCCGGCCATGTTGATGTTGTGGTATCATCCCAAGATCAAAAACATAATTTGAGAGAAAAACAAGTTTCTATTACTCACAAGAATAAAAACAAGAGATTTATAAACTCTAAACAAAAAACTCTCAAACACTCCACAACTCTTTCTTGGTTGTGTTTCAACACTCTCTAGGTTGATTGATCACTCTCAATGATGATTTGAATGAATGAAATAACAAGTCTATTTATAGGTATGAAATAGCACACCACCATTGACAAAATGGTGTGAAATGTGAAGGTTTGATGGAGGTATCATTTGAAGACTTCTTGAATGGTGGGCTTGAATGGAACTTTCACACATAGCTAGCCATTGATGACTTTGTGTATTGCATGGAACTTTCAATTCTCCCCTTTCCATGCAAGTTCTGAACAAGCATCCCTACTATGTCTCTGCATAGCTTAAGCTTATCCAGTGTAACCACTTTCGTCAACATATCTGATGGATTCTCCTTCGTATTGATCTTCACTAGTTTCAACAGCTGTTGATCAATCTTCTCGCGTATCCAGTGATACCGAAGATCAATATGCTTTGTGCGGGCATGGTACATAGAGTTCTTGCTTAAGTCAATAACACTTTGACTATCACAATATATCTTGTACTCTTTCTGCTTAATCCCAAGTTCTTGGAGATAACGCTTTAGCCACAACATTTCTTTACCAGCTTCAGCGGCAGCAATATATTCAGCTTCTGTTGTAGATAAAGCAACACACTTCTGCAATCTTGATTGCCAAGAAATGGCTCCCCCTGCAAAAGTGTAAACATAGCCCGAAGTAGATTTTCGACAATCAATATCTCCTGCCATATCAGCATCAGTATATCCTTCCAAGACTGGATCAGCTCCTCCGTAACAAAAACATAACTTAGAAGTACCCTTCAAGTATCTGAGAATCCACTTGACAGCCTCCCAATGCTCTTTCCCGGGGTTAGAAAGAAAAAGACTCACTACACCCACTGCATGAGCAATATCTGTCCTTGTACACACCATTGCATACATCAGACTTCCAACTGCTAAAGAGTATGACACTGCAGACATCTCCTCCATCTCTTCCTTGGATGTTGGACATGATCTTTTGCTCAACTTGAAATGATTCGCAAGTGGAATACTCACTGGTTTGGCATCACTCATATTGAATCTTTCAAGTACTCGTTCAATGTACTTCTCTTGAGATAGCCATAACTTGTCGTTCTCTCGGTCTCGAGTAATCTGCATCCCAAGAATCTGTTGAGCCTTTCCTAAATCTTTCATATCAAAAGACTTGGAAAGTTCTTTCTTCAGCTGACGTATCTTCTCCGCATCATTCCCAACGATCAACATGTCGTCGACGTACAGTAGAAGAACTATGAAAGTCCCATTTGAGTATCTTTTGATGTAAACACACTCATCTGCAGTAGTCTTTTTGTAACCTTGACTCTTCATGCATGAGTCAAACTTCTTATTCCACTGCATTGGTGCTTGCTTTAGACCATACAAACTTTCCGATAGCTTGCACACGAGGTTCTCACTTGAAACCTCAAAACCTTCGGGCTGCTGCATATAGATTTCTTCATTCAAATCTCCGTGAAGAAAAGCTGTCTTCACATCCATCTGTTCAAGCTCCAAATTCATACTTGCTGCCAAGCCAAGTATGTCTCGAATTGAGGTCATCTTGACAACTGGTGCAAAGATCTCGTCAAAATCAATCCCTTTCTTCTGCTGAAAGCCTTTGACAACTAATCGAGCTTTGTGTTTCACCACTTGTCCATTTGCATCTTTCTTCAGCTTGAACACCCATTTGTTTCTCAAAGACTTTTTCCCTTCTGGAAGTTCAACTATCTCATAAGTTTGATTTTTCTGCAGAGAATCTAACTCTTCCTGCATCGCAGCCATCCATTTTTCTTTATCCTTATGAGATACGGCTTCTTGAAAACTCTCTGGTTCTCCATCTTCTGTCAATAGAAGGTATTCAGATGATGAGTACCTTTTTGATGGTATATGACCTCTTTCAGATCTACGAGTGGGTAGAACCATCTGAGAAGAACTTTCAACATTGGTGTCTGACAAAATGGGTTGTGGCTCCCCTTGCTCTGGCGAGGTGGGTTGTTGCTCCCCTTGCTCTGCACTCTCTTATGTCTCCTCATCTTCTTCTGGTACATCATCTTCATTGTTTCTCCGGAACAATTCTGGTGCTTCATCTGAAACTTGAGCACCCACATTTGACTTCTCAGACATCTTGGGCTTTTCGATATCTTCTATTGTCAAATTTTCTTGGAACACAACGTCCCTACTTCTGATCACCTTTTTCTCCTTTGGATCCCAAACTCTGTATCCAAACTCTTCATCTCCATAACCAATGAAAATGCATAGGATGGACCTCGCATCGAGCTTCTTCCTGAGCTCTTTGGATACATGTGCATATGCTACACAACCAAATACTCTGAGATGTGAGTATGTTGGATCCTTACCAGTCCATATTCTCTCTGGAACTTCAAAATTTAATGGAACTGAAGGTGATCGGTTGATTAGATAACATGCGGTCTTGACAGCTTCTCCTCAAAATGGCTTTCGTAATTTAGCCATGTTCATCATGCTTCGGACACGCTCCGTGATAGTCCGATTCATTCTTTCAGCAACACCGTTGTGCTGAGGGGTACGTGGTACTGACTTCTCATGTCGAATGCCATATGTTATGCAATATGCATCGAACTCCTTGGAAGTATACTTGCCTCCATTATCAGATCGGAGACATTTCAGCTTCTTTCCTGTTTCACGTTCCACCATGACGTGAAATTCCTTGAAGTACTCAAACACCTGGTCCTTCGTATTCAGGAAATATACCCACACCTTTCGAGAAGCATCATCAATGAAAGTCAGAAAATATCTGCTTCCACCCAGTGATTCAACCTCCATGGGACCGGAAACAACAGAGTGTACCAAGCTTAACAACTCTGATCTCTTTGTTGAACTTGTATTGAATGAGACTCTATGCTGCTTGCCGAATAGACAATGACTGCAAGAACCCATCGCCGCACTCTTATCAACCTTGATAAGATCCTTCTTCATCAGGGTAGTCAGCCCTTTCTCACTCATATGGCCGAGTCTCTGGTGCCATAAATCCTGGTAAACCTCCTCTGCAACATTGAGACTTTCTATACTGATCTTCAAATGTGTTTTGTACAGCGTCCCACAAACATGTCCTCGGGCAATTTTCAGAACACCCTTTGACAACTTCCATGTGCCTGCGCCGAAGTGATTTTCATATCCTTCTTTGTCAAGAGCCACCATTGACAAAAGATTCAGCCTGAGATCTGGCACATGCCTGACATCCTTCAACAAGATTGTACTCCCGGTTCCTGTCGTTGCCTGGATATCACCAATTCCGGCAATTTGAGAGGAGCTGGAATTTCCCATCTTCACCGATCCAAAGTCTCCAGCTTAATATATTGTGAAGTATTTCCTGTTGGGAGTAACGTGATAGGATGCTGCAGTATCTACCACCATTCCATGTCTTCTCTTGAGACATGAAGATACGTCTCACCATGGTTAGAGCAATATGCTACATCACCTGAGACAGTGATAAGAGTTTCACCACTCTTGCCCTTGTTCTTCTGCTGAGAACTATTCTTCGGCTGAGAATTGC